TGGCCACATTCCAAAACCCTATTGACAGAATTCAGTCTGCACCAAAGAAAGGACTAGACACATCACACTAGTTACTAGTGTCCAATCAAAAGACTGACATTTTGTTTATTTCGATATTAAAACTGTTTTAGGTTATGAGCAGTTTAGAAGAACTATTGACGTAGAATAATAGCATTAAGCTGTGTAATTCACTGCCCTTCTTTCTTTCAAGTTCACCAAGTAAAAGAATTGTAGGATAGCTGCAATCTTGAAATCTACCATAGTGTTCTTCAAATTAAACTAGCACTGAGTGTGATATATATTCAGAAATTCATAAAATACATGAAAAATCTAATTTTATTGTTAGATAAGGCTTGTTTCTAATCTTCAATCATAATTTATCGACATGGTCCGTAATGCGGTTACCATATAGCTCTGTGAATTTGTATTAAGAGATAGCTGGTAGGAATGACTTAGGTAAACTTGAAATCACGGTAGTCCTTCTCTGTAACTAAATCATTTCCAGATAAGATTTCACAAAGATCCCTTGTTATAATCCAAGACAGCTACATAATAATACGTGGCTTTGACACCATATACTGTTCTCTGAACACAGTCAAATGCATTAAACTGCTGATGAGCTGGACTCCAGACGACTGAAACGGCATTCCAGTGTTAAGATCCCTTCGATTTGGTTAGCAAACATTGCAAGTTAATGAGTATGGCAACCAATCACTCATACTAATCAATTTGCAATACATAGCACCATGCATACACGCTTGCTTTCTTGGTTGCTATTTATGCTACCAAGCAAATCATATAGCGTGATTTGAAGGACATTATTATTATTATTGTTCCCTTGGATTCCTAGTGGAACATAGGGCTTCAACTGCACGTCTCCACTAGCTTCTGTCTTCTGCTGTACTTTTCACCTGCGTGCATGTTAATCCATACTGTTTCAATTCCTCTTCACACGATCTCCATGTAACCCTTGGACGTCCCACTCGCCGCTTCCCTTTTGGGTTCCACTCGAGATATGGCCTGACGCACGATGTCACCCAAGGACATGGTAGTGAAATTTCACCTTGATCTGTATAAATTCAAGATCTGGAATTTAATTCGGCGTGACCTTGAAACTGGTGAAAAGAAATGAAAAACAATATCCACTGTTGACTGACATGAATAATTGGGCAAATCTTACACCACCTAGTAGTGATGTCCAGCCAGATCAAGGTTGTATAAAAAGTGTATGACTGTGTCGCTCGGTATCCTAATCTCTGAGAGCCGAATCACTTCAAATCATCTGATTTCTTTCCAGAGAGACACAAGTGATCGGTTTTATTTATACTACAAAACATCTAAATCGTGGTTTATTCTGTCAAAAACCATTTTTGATTTTTGGTTGCACTTAGCTATGGAAACAGTCTTATTCAAATACTTCATGAATGAATCAAGTTGACTTAGCGTGCTAATGATCACTTGTAATGGAATATACGTAGGTAAATTCGGTTTATTGCTGCTCCTGACAAACTGCTCATCATTATATTAAAAATTATACAAATACTCTACTGATTATAAGGAGATATAAGTAGTATTTGAAAGCAATGATAATTTGTACATCAGTGTATAAGCCACTGAAGAATGAACTTGAGAAGAATTTAATAAACGAAATTCCACGACGAACTAGACATACCCAATAGAGAGAGAATTGATGATATTATTTGCAAATTGTGAATTCAATGTAGGGCTCATGAATTTCTTACTTGATATTGTTTTTCATTCATTGAAGATGTCCAAGAATTCTTCTGCATCTGTTAAGAAGAAGCTTCTCTGTATAATTATATGCAACTGAAATTCAAAGGTGATATACCAAGTGAAATAATGATAACCAACAAGTTGTGAGAATCAATCCGAAGAACATATAATCCCGATAAGTTGCAGCTTATATTTTCCATACAACAGGCTGTGATTCCGAAATTAAAAGCCGAGATACCTAGGCTAGCCATAAATAATTGTATCTATCAATTCCAGTGCACCTGAGCAGCCAGGTGCTCTAGGAACCTAATTTTTCGTGCTTGTGAACACCTATCACTGTGGTGAAATGGACATGTTGTTAAAACCGTTAATAGCTCTGTAGTGGACCATCTCGTTCAAACAGGCCGCATAGCTAACAGTGAAAAAGGTTCAGCAATCAGCTATCCAGTATCAAATAAATTACCAAAGGCCTCTGAATACCGAACACTCCAAACAGAAGAGGCCACTGCATTCTGCTAAAACCGATTAGAGCTCAATTTACAAAAGAGGCAGATCTAGCCACTATTGCTACCCTGTCCTACTGTGGAACCTAACAGATTCATAAATTCTGTGTGTTACTTCCCTTTATTTATTTATCTAATATTCAACAATCAGTTAAGTGTTATACTGATGCCTGTAATCTCTTATTGATACTTATGAAATCTTAACGTCCAGATTATTGGTTAAGTGTAATTCAAAACAGCATTAATGTTTTCAATAACAACACTCCCCTAATTATTATTATGGTTGTATAAATGTAGAACCTGATGACGAATTTATTATCAAAAGGAATATTCTTTGTTCATTAATCAATCTTTTAGATTGTTTTTCATTTTCTTTGCGTTCCGGATGGAACAAGACTCTAAGTTTGAACTTTGAAGTTTCAGTAGCGCTGATGTTTGTTTTCTCCACAGGGTGGAGTTTCTGAGCATAAGTCCCCTTTACTAGGTAAACTATCAAACCTGGACCGCGTACATGGTTGGCGAGCATCCTACCAATGAATCAACCTAACCCAAACAATTTGCCTATAGACAGGGTAGGAGCACTTTAGACGCTGCAGCCGTCTTACACTACAGTATCTTCTCATCATTAGATATAGGTGCCAAATATGTCCGCTGCACGTTTCTCGACATCACTTCTGCTTTCGACTCTGTATCTAGATGTCTCTTGCTAAATAAGCTCTCTATGACAAAAACTGAGTCCTGGGTTACAAACTGGTTGTATTCCTATTTCTCAAACAGAATGCAGTACACTGTATACAAAGGTAAATCCTCCTCTGCTGTCCTCAGTGAAGCCGGTGTCCCCCAAGGTGCTGTACTCTCCCCACTTCTCTTTTCTCTCTTTCTACATGACTTACCATCTTCAAATGACATCAATTTTGTCAAATTTGCTGACGACCTGACCGTATCTTTTCCTGTCAAATGTCAAAGCAACTGCTCTAAACTTAATGGCTTTCTGTCAGAAGTCAGCCAGTGGTCCAAGGAAAATGCCAAATGCCAAACAGTCAATTTCACCTTTAGGCATAAATCTGACCTAAACAAACTGGTTAGCTCTCACGAGGTGTGCAACATGAATGGCACTGAAATAGAAATCAAGTCGGAAATCAAATACCTAGGCGTCATTCTATCTGCTGATCTTTCCTGGTCGTCTCATATCTTGACAATTTCTAAGAAAATATTCTGTCTTACCTTCTACATCAAGAAGTTAAGACATTCTGGTATAACCCAATCCTTACTCCTACAATTCGTTTACTCTCGCATTCTGCCTATTATTCTCTGTTGTTCCCCCTTAGTTTTTCCCGGGTTACTGAAGAAAGACTATAACATATTACGCAGGATGTTAAATGTTGTCAGCAGGGTAAGCAACGTGCCACTTAACCAGCTTGTTAATATTCTGGTTGACAGGCACATGGACTCCTGTGAAAAATGGGCCAAATCCATTTTATCTAAATCACACCACCTTCTTCACTCACAACTCTCCCCTTGCATCTCATCAGGCAAAACTAGAAGCCTGTATAGAAAACTATATGCTCACACTAGCAAGTACAAAAACTCAACCATACCCTACTTAGCTCGTGTTCTGTGTGATAAAGAAAGTATCAGGCGTGACACCTATAATTCATTAAATAGTCAGTAGTACAACTGGATCTCGTCTTTCCAACTCACATCATTTATAGGTACTACATTTTCTTCTTTCTTTTCCTTTTCTCTCTCTCTCTTTTTTCCGTTATATGCTGCTTTGTTTCTTTCTCTCGCTTACGCCAGTAAATATGACAGCACCTACTTTTCTAACACCTTCAAACACTGTTCAACTTTGGCTTTGCTACCGACATGCCAATATGTTGTTGTCATAATGAACTGAGAATTCCTTAATTTATGTAGAATTCTATTTATTGATAATGTACTAACTGGATGCAATACTGTGGTAAAAATGCTGAGAATTCCATTCTGTATCACTTTTGTTCGCTTCAGCATAACACATCGCATTCTTCATTTCACAGGTTTTGAATGATTTTATAACTTTTATTCATCAATGCGGTCTCATTACTCCAATGCACAAACATTAATTGATGAAATTACACACAATAATACCACTAATAATAATACTTATAATAGTAATAGCCGCAATATAAGGCGATAAGTCCCACTGGTTATAAAATGCGCAGTACACTAAAATAACAACAACAACAAAATCTCTTCAGAATACAAAATGCTGCTCTTAAGTCTTTTGGTTTTTCTTTCATTTACGTGAAACAATTCATCAAATTTAATGTTATTTAGATGAAGAGAGATAGATAAAGGGATAGAGTTTAGAAGACATGTGAGTAATACTGAAAATGTGGAATCATTGTCAGTGTTCACATGTTGTACACAGATATATACGTTTTACTACTTTGAATAAAGCGTATTCTGTCAGCGGAATGATGAGCATCTAACTCATGACTAGAATAATAATGATGATAATGATAATAGTAATGCCGACATTTCTAAGGATGATGATAATAATGGGAGTTTATTTTGACAAAAACCCCTTAAAAGAAAGTATAATAAAATCTGATTGATCATGTAACTCTTCTGAAATAAACAGCTAGAAATATTTTCTTTTTAAATATGCGATAAACCACTTGTAGATTTTAATGATAAGGGTTAATTTGATGATAACACATGGATTCAGCTGTATATATATATATATACGTATATATATAAAGCATCAGCGCAATTCATTATACTTACTGTGTTCTGTCATCTTATCAGACAATCTATTCCAATCATACAGATTATGGCCTTATCAAAAGCTGTGATCAAAGATACTGATATGGAATTGAGTATGCAAGAAGAAGCTGTCAATGTAGGTGCAACTGGTATGGAAAGGCATCAAGTGGACAAAGATGTTGCCTCGCATTTGAAACAATATTTTAATTTAAAATATGGTCGTACATGGCATTGTATTGTTGGCAAACAGTTCGGGAGGTGAGTTAATAATGTGCAAAACAAAAATTCATAAAATTATGATTTCTTGGTTAAAATGTGTTGTAAGATTTAAAGTGTCTGATAAATTTATTATGTAACTAATTAAATCTCCGTTCGTTTGGTTATACGTGCTTGTGTTGGGGCTTGGATCATGCACTCCTTCCACTTGGAGGCGATCGGCATAGGCTAGTGCTAGTGGTAAGTGCTAGTAACCTCGCCTATGCCATAGTGTATGAGAATACAATTTAGTGTAACGCATATATCTAAATTGTTTTAATTAAAATTTTCCTGAATTACCGGGAGGCAAGTTTAAATTTGGTGGAAAAGGACAAGAAGTTCAGCAGCGAAGATATCTTTTCGGGTAATTTCATTCTCAAAAACTGTACTATCACATTTATGTACATAAGTTTATTTATTTAATTCTACATAGTAACGAAGGTGATTAAGGGTCATAATAATTTTCAACTTGACATGAAAGTTTGAAGGTGTGGTGAATACAGATTACAAGGGGCTTGGAAGCAAAATTATGCAGGATTAGAAAGGTGTGAATGAGATGAGCATGGGAACAGGCTGAAAGAATAATAGTTTTAAAACCGAGAAAAAAAACGGGAAATGGAGGGGATGAAAAAACGGGACCAAAGAAGACAAACCGAACTAGATCCATGGTAAATGTAGGGGTTGAACCAGTTTCTTTTGAACACACAGCTCCGGTTTTCCGAAGCATATGGGGACGGCTTCTGCAATACAAAGAAGCTGGAAACACGCTACTTTTGGTAGATTTTTGTTTACTTTGTAAATGATTCTGAATGATGGGTCAGTTGACAGGTGTTAACGAGGTGTTCACTTATGGGGCTCCTAATTGAACCAGTGCCTCCTCTTTGCATCTATACAGGGGAATGATCTCTAACACATTTTGAAGTTTAAATTTACTCATAAATCCTTCAGATTTACACATAATTTCTATTTCTTTATAATTTCTTTTTCCAGTGATATTTCACATGAAGAACGCTGCTTTATATACTTTTTCTTGGGTGACAGATCGTTTCTTCTTTTCAAATCTGGTTAAGAAAAAACAAGTACTATATTTATCATTATTGTTAGTCAATTTTATGCTCCAATACTATTATATATAATAAAATTATACTATTAAATGAATGCATTTCTTTTTCATTAAATCCCAAGGAAAGCTTAAAAAACGAATAATTACCAAGTTTCGTTTGTTTTTCTGTCTTCAGTAATTTTACTCCGCTCCCAGTTAGATGTTTGCAATCAGCCGTTTTGATTATTATTCCTAACATTCATATCGTATTTTATATTGCTAACTGATATGAGTATAAAACTTGGTCAATGTGGTAGAGTATAACTCCATTATAGATAAGATTTTATTTTGATAAATCACACAGTGTTATACAGTAATATTAACTGATGACCACGTTTCGAGCACAATTTATTACTGCTCATAATCAAATCAAATCACTCACACAACTGTTTACTTCGTTTATATACATTAGTAGAAACTGATTAGACATTTGAATAAAAATCAGTATAGGATAATGTACATTCAGAAATAATAATAATATGAGTTTTATTGATCAAATGCAACCAGATGGGAAATAAGACGAGTGTTTCTATAGTCCAAATAATTAACTGGTTAGAATGCTATAATGTACGTGAAGTGAAATGGAATTTTAAGATTATTTATTGTCCTCCTCTCATTTGACTGTCTGGTGGTAATAATGTCTTCCATATCTCTGGTATTTGCATTGAGTCATTTCTGTTGGATGTGTTGGGTGTAGACTCAATGAACCAGGATTCAGTAATCAATCTCTCTCTCCACCTACATCGATTACTTCTTAGAATTTCAATCCCCTCCCACAATATTGTGTGGTTGTGTTTTGATGCATGTACTGCAATTCCTGAGCTTTTTGTCTAAATTACTTATCTTCTCGGCGTCAACCATTCTTACCTCAGCTAAATTCTTATGTTCCAACAATCTGACTACCCCTGACCTACTAGTTTGACCTATGTAGTTGACCCCACTAACAGGCATTGCAAGGTATTTTGTAAATTATATTATTTTGTCTAAGTGGGTCTACCGGCTTCTTTAGCCTACAGAGCTTGTCCTGCGTGAGTGAGTTTGTAGGTTTGAATGCCACCACCCTAATTCCTGCTTTATTGCGAATCTTACGTAGGGTCTCAGATGTCTTCTCCTTATATGGTATAACCATAGATGCCTTATATTCTCTTTTATTTATGTTATCATTATTAGTTTCATCATTATTTTTATTTTGCTGACGGGAGATTTACAGATGTATCTGTTTCAATTTGGTTTATGTTCTCTGAGATTGTTGATTTAATTGCGAAACTCATGTTGTCCTCCTGGATAACATTATCAGCGCAGGCTTCGATATGACGTGATCATATCTAAATTTTTTCCAGGAATGATATAACTGTATCTCCGGACAACCCTTCTCGTGATCGGTTGTCACTGATCGTTTTCATTAACTTGGAAAATGAACTTTTATGTCAAATGGTTTATTTTTTATGAGTTAGTAAATTTGATCTATAGTAATGTAGCTGGACTTTGAGGACGATTTATGTCTCATGTCGCGTAATTGTGAAGACTTACTGAAGAAACCAAAAAGTCGGTAGAATATGCATGCAGCAAAGATAGGACTTCAAATAAACGGCGATCATGAAGATAACAACAGCAACAAGCACCAATCAATATCAACGGAATAAATTTGAAAACGGTCACTAGTTTCACTTTCCTAGGAAACGTACTTTCAGCTACAGTCGACTTCATGGATGAGGATGTCGCAGCCAGAATCGGAAAAGCATGACGGAACTTCATCACTCTGAAATCACTTTGAAAATATTCTACACTCGACAGCATAAGGGACAAAATGCAGATTTTCAACACAAATGTTCAATCACTTCTTCTAAATGGGTCAGGAATGTAGCCGGCTCGTCACGAAAATAATTTCTAATAGACTCCTGAAGTCTTTTATCAACATCTGCCTTCACTGGCTCCATACTGAAGATCCATTGGCTGCAGAGAATTAGCAGCAAGAAACTCTGGGGACGAACCAATCAAGCAACTGTTGTTCAAGAAGTGTCCTGAAAAAGATGGAGATGGATTGGACACACACTGAGCAGACCTTCAGGTGACATCACCCCCAGAAAATCGTTCGAGTAGAACCTAAGTGGGTAGCAATTAGTTGGGCTTGTATTCGAGGGCGATACAGAAGAGCTCGTGTGAGGAAGAGATGTAAGCTTATGGGCAGTCGTGGAGCCGGCCAGCCAGTACTTCAAAGAATAGGGTGAAGTGGAGATGTGTTTCTGAAGTCCAGTAGTGCACTTGGAACGTAATGGAATAATGCTCATAATAGGTGTGTCTGTTAATTGGTGATATATCTAATGTACCTGTTAGTAAACATCATTTGAGTCTGCTGGAAACCTCCCTAATTCCCGATTAAATTGACTCTTGTGCTTAATCATTATTAATATTCTGACAAAGTGCACTATGTCAAATAAAATATCAGGTTAAAATCTCTTTGGAAGAACATTCATGTAAACAAATCAAGAATTCGTAGATTTAAGAAAGATCAATAACAAAATATTAAAAGTTCTGAAAAATATGCAATGACAGATGAATCGCAGCTTCTGCCAATTCATGACGTATTTAGTGCAGCTACCGTTGGATAGAAACCTCAGTGCCTGAGTGGTAAACGAGCTGGTCTTGTGATTAGAAGGTCCGGTGTTCCAATCACCGTAGATGCGTACTACTTAGGAGTCTCAGATATGGACGAAACAGTTGTCCATCACCTTGTGGTTTTTCACTAGTTCTCTATGACTGATGTCATCTTGTGATAAAATCAGCAATCATTCGAATCACGTGTGTTTAAGTGTATTTAACAAAAAGAGAGTTGACCAGAATTTCATTAATAGAAAGATGAATAAATTAAGTACACAGTAAAAGATACAGTACCGACATCAGTAATGATGGTTATGCTTCGTAAACAGTAGGTTACCAAGATACATAAAATGAAGGTTAATATTGTTTCCGTTTAAGTGATATTTTGGATTTGAGACGAAAAAGCTGCACAGACATCATGCCTATCTTGTGATACTTGTGCATTCTTTAGTCTTATTTATATACAAGAATAAAATAACTTCATGAACAGATAACACTGTGTTACGGCCAGTGTTCAATACATCATGAAAATAGAGGACCTCCTTTAAGTGAAACGTTTTTGGCTTGATGAAAGCATACACTATATCGTATAGTTACTTTAGTTGAATAACATTATTATTGTTCTTTAGGGTTCCAAGTGGAACATAGGGCTTCAACAACACATTTCTGCTTTGTTCTATTCTCTGCCTTCCTCTTCAGCTGCGTCCACTATTGCCCATAATTTCTCATCTCCTCCTCGCCACACAATCTCCTCTATGTCACCCTCGCACTGACGACCCACTCATTGCTTCCCATTGGAATTCCACTCGAGCGATGGTCTGCATCGCACGTGACATCATTCGGCAGTCTCCTCAACATGTGCCAAATCCATCCCCATTTTCTCCTACATATTCGCTAAAAGCAATCGGCGATTGGTTGGTTTTTTTCCAGCTGTAGTTTCTCGTTGCTGATTCTTTCTGGACAGCCGACCATTCGATCTTCAGAATGGAGCCAGCCGGCGAAGGTGGCAGCTGTTGATAAAAGTCTGCAACTTGTTACAAAATGCTTTTCGTGACACGCAGTGAAAGTTTCTGACCCTTATATAAGAAGTGACTAACTTCACATTTGTGTTAAAAATCCGAATCTTGTCCTTTATGCTGGCTGAGTGTAGAGGATCTCCAAACCGATTTTAGAGTGATGAAGGCAAATCTTGCCTTTCCGATTCTGACTGGCTTTCACATCTTTATCTGTTCTGACTGTCTATGGTTGAGACCATGCTTCCTAGCCAGAAAATTGAAGGAAGCTACCTCTGTAAAACCTCATCCTTTGATGGTGACTGGTGCTGGTTGTTGTTGTAATTGCTGTTAGTTGGATAAGCATCTTCATCACCTCCGTCTTCTCTGTATTCACCTGAAGTCCTGTCTTTGCCACCCACTACTTCTGCCAGTTTGTTGGTTTTCACCTGCCTACAAATCTTCGAGTTGTGTGACATTAAACATAAATCATCTGCGAAATCCAGTTGAATAGCATACATAGGTATAATCACTGATATTCTATTCTCTAAAAGAAATGCTGTCAGAATTCTTATGCACTTTAGCCCGTTTTACAGCTAGTTAGTTCCTGAATTCGGTCATTTGAACAGTCAATTATCTTGCATCAAAGTTTTTCAATCCAATAATTACCGAAATGGTTCTAAAGAGAAGCAGAGATCACCAAAGTTTTACATAAATCTTCTCTGATTTGCCGTCAGTGTTGTACGTACAACTTTAGTATTTCGAAGAAATATATTAGGTAGATCACAAGTAGAAAGAAGGCTGTAAAGTATTTAATAGTACATGGTGTTGAGATAAAAAGACTTTTAAGTGTTATGATGACTACTGAGTTATAAATAGAGAGGTTCTGTCTATGTAATTTCGCTTCATGATGACTTTAATTTAAAAGATGCGCCGCCATATTTAATAACAATAGTAACAACAGCTTAATTCTGAACAGTGTTTACATAATGTACAGAATTTCCAGCGGAATTTATTGTACAATAGTTTCTCTTCGTCCCAGATCAAGTAAAGTAGTAATTAACAATGGATCGCGTGACACAGCGCTGTTTGACCTGCACTTCATGACTTTTCTTCTTTGTCTCCTTCGAGAAATACACTGCCCTTGGTTGAAAGGCAATTAATAAAGGTGCAGGAATACATTTTGAGATCCAAGGACATAATAATAACTGAATAATTGAAGACTATTCAGATAGTTAGTTTTATTTCTCAGGCAGTGACAATTTATACTAAAAATCATATGAACCGTTACCTCATGTACTGTGATATATTGTCACCCACAATTTGCTTTTTCTGAAGTTTACTAGAGACTTGCAAATCACCAGGTTGTAGACAATGTGAATACTCGTCAGAGTAGAAAACACCATCAGAGGTCATATTTTATTAGATAAA